ATATATAACTTTTTGATGTATGTATGTATAGAGTTGACTAGTAACTGACATCTCAGGGCGTCTGACAACTCGTCTTCTTGCAGTGATTGACTGATCAGTTAGTTAATCTCGATTGTGCTCGTTTTGACGTCAACGTGCATAGATGCTCAACGTACAAACAGGCAAAATAAAAAAGTAACACCACAAACTTTCTTTCGATATCTTTTCCATAAGTGGCTATTCCTACCTGCACACATTCGCTCCAAATGAATTAAATCCTCCTGTTAAAATCAACCGACTAAAGCTTAGGTATCTGATTTTTTTGTTTTACAGTATGGGGATTCTTCATCGTAACCTTTTCGAGACGATCGAGTCTCAAGAGGCCTATTCGCACTGTCATAGCTACAGTATCGATCGTATATGTGACTGCTTTGCCGTTACGTGATTCTACTCGTTTGCGGCCTAGGCTTGAGGTAAAACAGTTTGTTCAGGTTAGATGTTACAGTGGCAGATTGCTTTGTACGAGAGTCGTTGCCGAATTCGATCGATAGGGCACGACTTACTCGGGTGAGAATTTCAAGAATGTGGGAAGATGCTACGTCGGAGGAGTCGAGAACACGGCAGAGTTTCTGTATAAAGGGAGTACCTGAAATAGACCCAAGGAAATGCCATAGAAGACGACTATAACACGTTAGTAAATTGATCTGCAGTCGATTTTATTCGATAATTGCTTCAAGCATCTGAAAGACAGTGTAACTATTTTACGTGTATTATGATCCCATTAAGCATGCCTAAGGCATTTGAGATATTTGATAAATAGACTGCATTCACTTTTATAATATGAAGTTATTCTAATTACTATTGAGCAATGCAGCACGTTCGATCTCATGTTAAGTTTATTCAAACATACAAACCTGACGTCCCATCGATTCGAACAGACCGCCATCAAGCAACAATAACATAGCGATTTTATGTAATACATCTAGCATCTTTACAATCATAGCAAATACATGTTTTTTACACAATGCAGACTGACGCTTTATACCAGCGCGCGAAAATCACATTTAGCCAGCATGAAAACTTTTACACGGCAGCCATGCTTTTTCTTATCATAAATTCGTTGTCACTATAGTAAAATTAGCCGTATGATCTATATTTTGTTTGCGCATCGAGTTAGGCCAGGGAATGCTTAGCCTCAGACAGTCGTTCACCAGTCCTAGACAAGAATGATAGTTAATAGTTTTATTGAGAACGGCTTTATCCTACCAGAATGAATCACGAATGATTTTGTTTTGCATTGCCACGTCTGGAAATCCCCATGAGTTACACACCTTTTCAATTCTCGAGAGCCAAGAAAGGCAACTGTTTTCATTGAATCTGCATTGTTTTCTAACTCGTTGAGATTTAAAAGCGCCTAGGCATCTTGTAGCAGAAAAACTGTACGAATTGGGTTGTATATTACTTATAGGTTAGACGCGATAGAAGCAAAATGTCTTATGTAAAAGCTAGAATTGTCTCCAGCAAACGGTGGGCTGCCTACCCTTGTAGAAACAACTGTCAGGTGGACATAACGAAACGGACGTACACGTACTAATCTTGGCACACAACCTTAGATCGGTGGACCCATATCCGGCCAGTTTAGTAGACTTTACGGACCGAAACATCACTAGAAAAATCGTAAATCAATTCCAGTTTAATCGTGCAGCTACAAACTGACGTAGCTGTTTTGGAAAGATAGCATCCGTTGAGAACTAAAACGTTTCAAGTTACTTGAATCTTTACTCACCTGTACTAGAATCTCGATATGAAACATAGCCATCAGCCGCTGCGCAGGCTAGAACAAAATCTTCAGGCAGAGTAGGTGTGGCCGTAGCATCCAGTTGGTCCTTGATTCCCTTTTTTTTGACTTGAATGGCCACTCCCTCATCTTCTTGCTGTCCCCGGCAAGCCTGGATGATAAAAAGCTTCGGCTTTCCTTTGAGCGACGGGCAACGATCGGGTGAAAACGCCTCAAGAACCTCTTTCAAGAGGAGTTTGCCATCGTGGCCGTAGATGAATCCTCGATCACCGTGCGATAAGACGCATAACACGAAGCTCGAATAACGCGTATGGTCGAAAGTACTCAGGTCGGAAATTAGTGTTCGTAGTTGATTTACTGTACGGTTATGGATGACGTCCACCTGATAGTTCCAGCGCAAGAAAAACAAACAATTTAGATAATAAACGATTAGTATATATATAGGATAGGGCATTCAAAATCAGCACAAATTTTGTCGAGCTGTTTATAATAGTGGACGTCCATTCATCCGTTATTTTTGGCACTGAAAAGAAGCCAGTTCTTTCTTACTTGGAGAAAGCGATGTAAACTTTCGCAGCTTGGGAAAGAAGCCCTCATTGAGATTAAAAACTTGCATGTTTACCCAAAATCAACGGTCTATGTTAATGCCAGTTTTCTAAAAAAATCTAAAAAAAAATCCGTGACGCAAATCTAAACTCAGAGTTTAATTCTGCTAGGATTTTTTTCGTGTACCGCTTTATCTACCAATATCCTTTGACGCGCGGTTAAAAAGTTATTTGCAGATGCGGAAATAATATTAAACACAACATTGAATAATCGTGACTGTCGAAAATTACACTTCTAGTACATGCAAAAAAACTGCATTGAAATTTTTGCTTATGTTTAGCTAGTCCTAGAAGCGACTCTTGAGAATCTGAATTTACATGCGCTGCCGTCTATATATATATATGAGTTGATTTATGCTATATTGTTATCGCGTACCCTAACAAAATTAAACGATGAAAATCTTGAAAAAAATATTATAAAATTATCTCGTTTATAATTTTCATTGATATTAATTGGCACATACAATCTTCAAGTCCAAGTATACAAATGCAGTAAACTGAAAACAGGTCCTAGTACAGCGCACTTCAATATTTGGCATTGAATGGGTATGTTAGATAAACTTAGCTTCATTTTATAGAAGAAAAATATGGGCCTTGCCAAGTCGCGTTTAGCGCGTATCCGTTTCCGTCTTCTGAGATTTTGTGAATAATAAAGGCAAACTATATTATCGAAGTATGTACGTAGTTATTAAGTTTCAAAATGGGCTAAATAGTTTTCAAAAAATACAGTGATGCAAATAACATTTTCTATACCTTGCTACTAACTGAAGAAAAAATCATATCTACCTATTGCCTCAAAACAGCTTACTTGGAAATGCAGCCTAGTGAACGACCATGCTAGACTGCGTACGTCTTCGTCGGTACCATGTCTCGTGTCCAGATTTGTTGACGGCGCAAAGAATTTCTGATTAACGATAATGCAACGACCCATTTTAGGGTACGTCAGCGGGTAAGGTTCCAATGTAAACAAATTCTGATTGAGTGGCCTAAAAACGATGTAGAAAAAAATTAATAAATATAATTCTTGTTAATAAAAAAAAGAAATCATCATTCTTTTTGTATTATTTTTTATTTCTCATAATTTGAGACTTGCACAAATTACTTTAATAAATATGTCTGTAGCTCAGAATCGCATCACGCAAATTACATTTCTTTTACACAAACTCATTCCAAGCAATCCTAAATGTTCAAGATTAAAAAAATATTCCGTGAGCCATTACTTCCATAAATCTTCCATCCACAAACCCATAAATTTTCAGCATAAACTTGATCTAGTTTAATTGACTGGCCAACATCAAACATGCCCGGGTACCAGCAGCGCTCACAAACCTTCTGATTTGACAAAGCAGACAAAGACACATCAAAATGATTTTAACAGTGGTGGTAAGAGACACAAAAAAACTAGCGATTAGCAGTGGCTGATATCAAGTCCAAGCAAAAAGCATGTGTCTTACGGCGTTCCAACACATGAAAAAGTGTCATTGCTTGTGGTTTTCTGCAGCTTCCGCCCTTATACTGAATAGTACCACTGTGTCTCAAGGTTGCCTGTCGCCTCGTACGTATCACCTCATAAATACGGCATTGATTCGTGTGTCCGCATCGATTACATTTTCGACGCTTGGTCTCAACATTACATTGATTTGCACAGATGGAGAAAAAGAAGCAACAGGCTCTTCAACGATATCTTCCCGGCAAACAATTCACAGCTATATTGATGTTGACGCTATGTCAGGTTGCTGCATGAGGTAGGGAAGGAAGGAACTTCTTTGCCGAGGGTTGGTAGAGCGTAACCAATCAGCGTAAATTCTAAAAAAATAAAATGACGCTACTGGCTTAAGGAAGGTGCCCGTATGTTTGAAGGGTCTCCATGTAAAAAAGCCTATGCTCTCTCTAGCTAAAATCGACAAGACTGATTTAATTTATATGAATTAACTCGGTTACGCTTTGCGCTAGAAGCATTAGTAAAGCTGGATTGACTTTTTAGGCTTAGCTTAATAAATATAAACCTTCTGAAAATTTCTAATGCAGTTCTACAACAGGTATTGAAATAGACTATTTTTTTTGCCCGAAAACCGTACCTGCGGATATATTTAGCTTTGGTTATTGAAGTCGGCAAAGGTCACCACCGATCTTCAATCCTACGTTTGTTTTGCATTAGAGGATTACTAAATTTGTTATTGTACTTGACTTTTAACTCAGAGGAGCAATAGTAGTTTCCTAATTAGTGGTTGTAATATATAGCAATTGTTGATCTTATGAGCAGCAGCAGAGGCTATAAAAACGATTAAATCAATTACTACATACGCAAATAATTAACAATTACCTATAGGAAGTGCCAGATCTCACCTTTCAGCCTGCGTCATTGGAGCACTAACCAAATTTTCGTTTGCATCCATTTTCTCCTCATCTTGACTCCTATCTGGTGGTAGAGATAGCAAACTGCATATGTTAGTCGTATTATTTTGTGGATGTGAAACATTAGCATTTACTGCGAAAGATTACGCGATTGATGAAGAAATGTTCACAGATATGTAACGGTGTAAAATATACTCGTATGTATAATACATATAGTTATAAAACATAACATATATATATATATATATATATATATGTTGTCAATTAACATAAGGTATGCTTGTTCGACAACCAATACAATTTGATGAATATCACACATCGAAACTAGTCAAATATGTTCCCCTATGGCTTTCCCCATATTAACAAACTCCTCAATTGACAAAGTCGCCGAGAAATCACTAGGCTTTGTAAACAGTCTTACGAGATATATTGTAAAGCTTTACCGATGAATGGCAAATGAAGAATTAATCAAAATGAAATCAGCTGCTAACAGCCCCTGCGTCCCACCATTCCTCTCTATATTACGGTATTTTCTGTAGAACAGCTCAGCTGTATCTGCCGACCAAAAGTAACTCTGCGGTGTTTTCCACAATTCAAACATATTGACGTGACGTGTACAACTATAATTTGCGAAATGCTATATCGTCACTGTTATAGTCAAGCAGACGCTGCGAAACGCCACTGAGTGCTAGGAAAAGACACAAAGATTCTTCGGGTAAACAGTCGTAAATTGTAGAGAAAATGAGGACGCCGCCATTTCAACGTGCCGCCCTGCCACAGCTTTTTGATGGCGGTCATGCATTCCAAGCGTCAGACAAACGCATTCGGCTTCTACGAAGCGTCTATTCGTACAAAAGGACATATTTGGTGTCTTCATGTTTAGGTCGATTTCTTTCCGTTTTCTTTTGCTTACTTCGGAACAGCGACACGACATACAACGTACGTCATGTTTGGGCCATACCAGGAAGTGGATCTGCGCATTATCTTAGAAACAATGCATATATCGTCAAGAGCTATCTGGCCAAAGATCACCTAATGCCCTGAAGTGTGAGCTATGCTCAAAGCGTAAAACCAGCACTTTACAACGACATAGTAATATTGTAAGCCATAATTTCCGAGGCTCGTATAATCAGTCACTGTGGATTTTGATCACAACTAACCAAGGCTGTGTCTAAACGAATCTATATGAATCTTTACGCTACCCTGGTAGTCGTTTTGGAGCAGCTTTCAAACACTCATCTACCTATCCAATTAAACGATAAATGGATTAGCGATTGTTAGTGACCAAAGGTTATTTTAGTTATCTGTTGAGGCTGTAAAAAGTTCCCACAGAAGCACTGTCTCTGTGAGCGTTACCTTAGACATTGTTTATGCTACCGTAGTTAATGAAGTGACCAAACGATTCAGATCGTGCTGCTATGGACCGCATAAACGATTCATTACACTTAATCAGATATAGCAAACAAACTATCTGTTATGCTGTATATTGAAGAACTGAACTGACTTGCTCACCCACGCACGCCCGCAATAATTCAAAGAGGCTCATGATCTACCAGAGAGTTCAGCGTCATCAACAAACAAATTTCGTCTAGTGATATGAGCCGTCAACCGAAATGCATAAACTTTACTATTACAAATTACAGAATTATTGTCGGTTAATTCCAGCCCCTCTATCCGGCACCCGTTTTGTATATAAGGCCGTAATTTCTATTATTACCGTTGCTATAACTACTAATTAATCCAACCAAAAAGCGAATACACAGCGAAAGGCAGAACCTTGTCATCACGACGATTATCAGGAATAACATCAGTTACAGACAGATCAATAGGCAAAAAGTAGAACGAGGATGATTTCTTTGCTTCCTTCTGGGCTCAGGGTCACACTTTTGGCGTGGACGCAGTGCCGCGACGCGCCGTATTAGTACGGCTAATATCGCTCGAGTATAGTGAGCATATCCGGCGAGCAGCGGGCGTCGTGCGCAATGCGCTACCTACAGCTGACAGGGTTCTGCCTGCCTACACCTTGGTGACCGCCACGACGCCATGCTGTGGCACCAGGCAAAACTCAGCACCTGAATGTGTAATCTACAAAACGGTCGCATAAGGCTTATGTCTGAGTGAGTGCCATTACATATCATTTTATAAAATACATATTATGATTGCCGTCGTTTTTGCTGCCTGTTACTTATGTTTCCGCCGTTGGTGATGGTGATTGATCGAGCAATCTAATCTGAAGCACAGGTGTGAACATTTCCGAGTGATCGACTAGTAAGGCTGACAGCTTGGGCAGCAGAGGTTGCGAACAGCCAGTTGATCATAACTGCTAGTAAGTCGAGGGAAAGAACCCGACGTTCGTCGAGACAGCTACCGCTAATGGCAACAAATGGATGTGGCGACAGCAGAACAATCTGAGTAGCAGGAAAACGGAAGACATGGAAAAAAGCTAGAGCAATAGCCGATGACGAAATTGAATAAATTATCGAAAATGCAGTAATTCCAATTCGAGAAATATTATAAATATTTTTGTATGTGTAAGTCTTTATTTCGTGTATGGTTTGCTTGTGGAACAGCTCGTATGCTAGTAAATTAAGAGCGTATTTTATATAACCACAAATTACATTATTTTAGTGATTTTGAATTTCCACCATGTTTTTCATTTCGAGTGATAAAAAATTGATTAATGACGATTACCTGACAAACGACAAGTTTTATATTTCTTCACTCATTGGCCGCTCATTATATATATATATATATATAAAATGCTACTTGATTTTTGGGCGTGTTAACTCGTCATGCTAAAGTGGGCAACGCTGTGGTTTCGATTCATACTTATTAAGAACCAGCAGTTACAGTATTAGCTGTGGGCGTAAAAAGGAGTGGCTCATAAGCATTGCTTTATACGATTTAACATACAAATTTGGCAATCACAGTAATTGTAAATATATAAAACGCCGTATGCGCTCAGTCCTTTCGCGTGCGGCCATGCGCCCACATCGATCTAGTATCAACGAGACGCACACCCATATCATTTACGTCAGCGACGAACCAAGCGTCCAGAAAATGTCTTGTCCAACGCTACCACCATTAGAAAAAGCTTCAACGAGGCCGGCAGAAGAAACGCAAACATTAACAGCAAATCAATAACAGACAGCAGGCGAAATAACAGCAGCAGCAGCAACTGTACGGGCGTAAATTGCATTTTAGCGTACAGTCGCTCGATCGCCTTACACAGGCGCGCATGCTTTCCTCCGTTAACTGTTTAGTACGCCCACCGGAAGAGCGTTGCGTACAAAATGCGGCTCAGCTATAGAACAGATCGAAACAGATGCGAATGACAAAAAACGAGCCGCCAGACGAGGCGTCGCCAAACTTTTGAGCCATTTACCTGATAAAGAGAGCAGAAAAACAAACTATGGCCACAACATCAACGTCACCTTCAAGGCGATTAACGTCCACTGCCGCGCGAACTGTGTCATACTCGACGAGAGTGCGACACACCGAAAGAGTGAGTCCGATGGAGAATTGGCGGACGCTCGAAAACAATATGTACATTTATTCTTGTTAATAAGCATTAACTACTGTAGCGAGAGTAAACACTTAGAATAGTTATACACCTTATACGACACGTGGCCTTTTCGTCGTAGCAGAATTAGCAATAGTCGTACCGACTACATATAAGAAGACAACATGCTGATGATCGAATCCGATACAAACGCACTACCACCAGTAGCCGTATTACCGTAGCGATCTACAGCGATGCAAACGAATAACTTTTAAATCAAAATCACCATAGACCACAAGGGCAACAAGCCAGGCTCATACATATATCTGCATATGTACACGTACAGCCGCTGTTACGTCAAATGCGACAAATCAACCGAAAACCACTTTATGCTTTTTCTTGTACGCAACCGATGGCGCGCCATCGTAGTCACTACACGAAACTGCACACAAACGAACGGCTACAAGCAAACAGTCTAATGCATGCGCCAGGGAGAAGATGAAACAATCACGACCGCGACGAGATGCCAGCTGCAGCTCTTATTCCTGTCACGGTTAACTTGTACAGTCGCTGTTACTCTTTCCATTATTATTATTACCGCTATAATGCCGAACAAACGAAACGACTCAAGCGCGCTGAGTACGTTATAGTAGAGAACGATTAAAGAAAAAGACGAATGCAAAGAAACTGTTTTTCATATGAAATAGTGACTATGATAAAAGTCGCTGTCGCTGTTAGCGAGACTAGTTTACCAACACTTTATAATAGCGTAACGATGCTTGGAACAAGCTACAATGTCACTATATAACAATACAACAACATATGATATATAGAGTGTCTGCAATCATTTGAGTAATAAAAATGTTTGTGTGACATAGATAACTTGTAGATGACTTCAACAACGAGGCGAGTGTATTGTCGACTATATTAAGTAGGTAAACATAAAATACTGGACAAACTAAAAATAAGACAATATGTTGTCGATGCTGCAGCATAGATACGTAGGTTCGAAAATATCATATCGATGGCTGAACACAATCGGTACACACGGTTCCTTCTAGGTGTATCTGTGGCTGAATGTGTAAAGAAGCCGCACTACGTGACTGCGCTTACCATGCTTACTGGAGCAGCATCCGTCAAGCTCGTACTTCGCCATGTTGATGATATTTCGGCGTATTACGCAAATGGCTGCTGCCGCGTTATCAATTGCTTTGTTGTTCACTTTACCGAAGAAAAAGACTTCTGTTCATATCGCCTACCAGCCAATAATTCTTCCTGTGTCTGCCAGCCTTTTGACTGGGCGGATGCTCGATAGCCTCTCGAAATACTCTCAGTACTTCGGACTTATTGCTAACGACACCAATACTACTATTGCCGAACACTGCCACGCCGGTTGTGTGACACTGCTCGCTCGATATTTGCCCAGTCTGACCAGGTACGGAAAACAGGACTGTACGTTGCCACGATGAAGTCAGCATCCGTCGGGGTACAATTAAGCCGTGAAGAAACAGCACGAAGATAACGAGACACGACAGCATGCGACAATACCACATGAAAAACGACGGCGACAACAGCAACAAGAACAAAAACAGCAGTGACAATACAGAAAGAGAGCGCAACATGGAATACAGACTAATTGACACCTTTCTCCACATTCTTGGGGTGGGCCGCATGAACAATAACCCTCGCTACAACAGTAATAGCAATATTATAATTAATATAATAATCATAATAATAAAGAAACGAATATACAGTTGACGATTTTCGCGTCTTTTTGACTCGAACGTCAGCAGCATAATCGGCAGTGACCAGCAATGGCAGCTGCTGCTGCTGCTGCGCGACATAACACAGTAGCTGCACTCGGAGAGCGCAGACTACCAGCCTCGTCTAGGACTCGCTACTAAATGCTATATTATCTCTTATTATTCTGTGAGTTTGTACGTGTATCTACAACGGGAGCATACCAGCTGCCTCCGGGAGCGCGCTGAGTGGGCCAAACACCGTTTAGGTCTTCTATTTTCTTGCTCGTCAACGAGTTCACTTGTCGGTAGTAACTGAGCGACCGAGTGCCATCGTTGCTTCGTTTATCGCAGTCAGACTCACAACAGTTTCATCGCCCTGTGTTGCGACTCCCGCTACGCTTCGTTCACCGAACCTGCCTCACGGTATCTATCCTCTGCCATGATCACCGATGAACTGGGTCTAACTCGCCTTCGATTGGACAACTACGCTGGCACTGGCGAACTCACAGTCACTCACTGACTCAGTTCGTCTAATAACTAGACCGCCGAGCTTTTATGCAAGACATGTCATATTGTACAACAATTTTAGTTACTGGAGCTCCGTCGATTGACTGTACCCCGTTATTTTCTATTTGCTTCCTTGCTATTTAGCTACCGCCGCACCAGCGAGCTTCTTTCGTTCGACGTTAATACGACGGTGGAGATGAGGGCTACAGGGCTACGTTATTACGCGATATTTGGGTGGTTGCTGTGTCTGCTATCATGCTCTGCTCTTCAATGCAAACAGATGCTTGATAAAGAAAGATATACTCACTAATAAATGCGCTGACTCGATTCTTTCTCAGCCTTTCGGTGGCTTGGCTACCTACCTCACAATACTGTGCATACAGATAGCACACGAACCGGCCGCAGGCGGGTCATGCCCCAAAAAGTGGTACGATATTGAATACACATATCGCAGTGCGGAGATGGTCAGGTAAAGATGGCAACTGAGTTTGCTGGAGGAGCAATCAGTCGCTCGGAGAGTCCGAGTGGTCTATCTAGCCATCATTATCCAGTGAACACTGTATCAAAGAGAACAGACAAGATCAGAGGCCGGAGCCAGACAGCGAATAGTGGCGGCGCTGGTGCCGCGCCCGCCGCTCAAGAGAGAAGGAACGAAAATGGTGGCCGGCCGCGTTACGGTTACAGTTCGGCCAGAGGGCGCGGTTCGTCTCGAAAGGTTACGACCACGATAACTAATACAGCTATAACTCCCTAGCGCTACGCCAGCTTCTAACCGGCATTCGGTTGGACTAGAACATGAACGATACTAAGCTACTGACACACTGAATTACACCGAAGTTACGTTGCGTACCAATCTAACGCACATCCTTCTACAGTGACAAAAGCAGCTGTACCGCACGGCAGGCTTGTGTTCCTGTCGCACCGCCTAGCAGCTAAGTACCGATCAACTGGTCTTCAGTTTGCGCAACAAGTACCTCTCTGTGGCGGTAGCAAAGCGCAATCCGAAGTATTGCAACTACTATTACAGGAGGAATTCTATTCCGGATGCGCGATTCACCAAAAGCTAAGTCGCTGTCAGCTTGAAAAGCGACACCGCCCGCCCCTGACTCTACGGCACACCACTGCAAATCTATTGCTGAATTATCGTCGATGCCCGGTGAAACCTTAACGAAGCGAGCTCGACACAAGCCACAGACACAATGGCAGTTGGCCACAGCAATAGTAACAGCACTCGAACTAGTACTAGTTGCCGTCAGAGAAAGAGCGCCACAAGCGCCTATCGCGGCAACAGCATCGTTGCCGGCGCGGCAGCTACCATCAGCTGCTCAGTTCAACGGGAACAACCGGAGTGCGGCCAGCGCCGCGCCCGACGTAGATGACACCGGCGTAGAGCCATACGTTGACGACAGGGGAGCCGGTACCGACGGAAAAGTAGCGGCAGCAGAAGCGGTCAAAGCTGGTTACGCCAGCGACGGGGTCGCGCTGCCGACGTCAACTCCATTGGTACAGCATCAAGCAATAGACGTAATGTGCAGTGAAGCTAACGCTGCTCTACTAATCAGGCGACTCTGGCGCGAAAGGGTTAATTCTGTTACTGCTGCCAGCATTGACGCTGGTAAAAGAAAATTAAGAAAAGGAGAGCAAAGCAAGTAAGAAGGGAAGATAAGCTAAGAGAGTGTTTTTTTGCGGCTGAACTCGAAGAACACAACGCGAACACGATGACACTAGGATTACGGTAGAGATGGGTCGGACGCCGTTGCTATTGCTGTTGGACAGACAAGTGGACGAATGGCAGAACAGGCAGAATAATGATTGTAGTTGTTATCGAGAATGACGCCGGCGATGACGACGGTCGAAACGTCACTTGTGCTGCTCCCTAGCGGCATACGCTGGAAACAACTGCGTTACGAACATTGCAAAGAAAGGGAGACAGCTGGACGACCACGAGCGATCATGAAAATGATGGAGATGCTGGTTGGTGAGGGGGACGATGCGAGTCGCAGTAGAATGAGGGTGGAAAACGGGCATCAGCTGAAAACGAGTGGAGAACGCTGAGTGGAATTACTGATTGTAGCAATATTGTACAAGCCGTAGCGATGGGGTCATTGGTCGCGACACCTGGACTGCACAGCACGGATATAATAGGTGATCCAGAAGAGGCAGAAATGTAGAGAAATGGATGAGTTATCTCTTTGTGTCTTTTTTTTTTCTTTAACCGTTCTTTTTTTGGCTTACTTCGTTGAGGTGATGACAGTGATGGTAATCCTTTCCCTAGATAATAAGAAGTGCGTGGGGTAATGCTGATATTGTAACAAGAAAGTTCAGATTCTAGTGTTGATATCCGAGAAACTATCTGTAATACAATATCTGGAATGTTAGAATGCATAAGTTATAGCCACATAGCGAAATCGTGCGGAAAACGTTTGATAAATTTACAACTAGAAATAACTTGACGTCTTGAAGTAACTTACAGTGCATTAATTCAGTAATCGAGCAGGGCAGGTATCCAAGTTAAGGGTTAGTGAATGGTCTTTTCTAGCAAATCGTGCGCTTTGGTTAGACGTCACTGTCCAGTTTCGGCGTATGGTTTTCCTCATCTTGTTGGCTAGATGGAAAGTTGCTTCTAGAGATCGACAAATCCTTCACTATGATTACACGATCACCGATCACGCCCGCTTTAAAGATTCCTGACTACAGGAACAAGTCATATACAGACGTCTCGAGTTATACTCCGTACAATACCCTTCTTGCTTGACTTGTTGTTGGACTTCATGATTTGTTTTTGCTCATTCTATCTATCAAACTGTCAGTTTTAATGGTCTCAGCATTGATTTGTCCGTTGTTATTTTGTTCATCAATTTTTTCATTTTGCCCTCAAATAATATCTTGTCGCCTTCTCCCAATCGATACGAAGTCGAGCACTTCTCTGCAACGCTAAGCTATTTGTCACTCACAAAGAAGAAATCGACCCAGTCCGTGCAACTCTGTGACAATCACGAGACCACCCTTTCCGCTAAAGCTATGCCCTCTGCGGCTCATTACCGCTGATTCCGCCGCCATTGACGCCCCTACTGCAGTTAGTGCAAGTATTTTTGGGGGTAAAAAAAGTATCGTGAGGCTAACTCGAAGATATACATCCGCACACAGCTCAATTACCAGCTGCAGGACACGCACAGGACCATCGTAGAACTCTGGCTCGGTCTGACCTAGCCTTGGTTGAGCTAGACCAGGGCTTTTTCTTGTCAAGTCGATAATTGTACTCAGCAACACTGCGGCCTTCTGTTGTGTTATATCAGGACCAACATACAGCGAAAAACTTGCCACGATCGCACAAAGCAACTTGGGCGGGTCCCGCTCCGACCCAACGGTAGTCGTCTGAACGAACGAGCGACCGAGCGATCAGCAGAACTGCAAACTGCGAATTGCTGCTACGGGCCTTCCCTAATGGTGGAAATAGCCGTTGTGGTCGCTGGTAAAAGTGCAACTATTGGCAGCTCGCTCGCGCATTCCCGCGCTCACAAACGTTAGTGTTGGCGCTGCCGCCGCTGGCGCCGCCATCGCACACCGACTATGACCTCCTCCTCGCAATCGACACGCACCAAGCTACTGCTGGCGCTCCTACTACCTGCTAGGCGCTTACTGCTACTTACTGGCTTATTTTCTGGAAAATCAACCCTGAGTTAGCTGCTAGCCAAAGTTGTAAGTAAACGGGCCCGAGAAGCCCAGGGCACGTGTTGCTCGGACGACCAAGAAGACTCTAAGTACATCCCTTCACCATCTTTTTCTACCCCAAAGCGAGGCTAATGGTTCAATTACCTCGCGTCTTCGTGGCTACAAGAGCCTGCCTAGACATCCAGCAACAGCCGGACCTTAGCGGACTCAGGCTATCTGGGCCTAAGCTAAGATGAGTTCGATCGGACTGGGTCGAGGGCTTCGCGCTCGCTAAACAGCCGCCAAGCTCGAAACTTGAATTGAGTGACTGTTGATTCGGTTTACTGGGTTCGCATCGCTGGGACTCTCAGCATGAGGCTAGGTCTGAATAAAGCCACGCAGCTCAGAAGGAGGGAAAGAGAACTAGAGAGGGGAAGTCAAAAGGGAAAACGAGGTTATCAAGGCCACAGTTTGCTACCAACAGCAGTAGGATCAATGGAAACGCTAAGCGCGTTAACGTTCGACGAAGACTATAAAAACCGATGAGAAACGAAATCGACGAAAAAGCGGTATGGTTAAAGCAAAAAGATTTTGTCCAAAACACTATAAATCTGCTAGATAGGTCTCTTCCGCGTGTCCGATCGATGAAAGGAACCCACAATCGAAAACAACAACCTTGCCAACCAAGTCATAGTTTACTAAGCGGAATCAAAACTGAGCTATTGCTACGTCAGTCAAGCTCGGAGAGCTTTCAGTTAGCTCTGTTGCCAAATGGTAGGTTTGTCTATATTTGCTGTTGGCGTTCCTCTCAACGATGGCAATTGCGTTCGGTTCCTACTCGGAGGATCTACATCTCTAGAACAGATGGCAAAACGGCCTCGTCTACCTAAAAGGTGGTACAATATAAATGAAATCATAATCCAGTACAGCTCCTTTTTCTTATCCTACTTTGCCGTGTGTATGCGGATGAAACCGAAACACATTGCTTAGAAATTGGCGTAAATATAACGGACACCGAATATCTCTATTGTGGCGTAGGGGTTAAAAAACGAATTACCAGAATGTCGTTTACGGATGAACGAGTAAAGTTTGACGGAAATTTTCTGTTTTAATAGGTGAACGATAATTATCTCTCTCTCACAGTAGATTGCTTTACCCCAATGGAGTGGTGGTTATGAACTGGCAGCACGAGTAATATCGATTATAGTCCAAACGACTTACTGCTTTATGCGAAATCAACTCTGATGGTGATGCTGTCAGTTTTACGATTGGTGAGTTCTATACTGCTTTATGGGCAGCTGCTCTAAAGCCGTCCAACTGAGCGCGCTGAGCGGTTTGCTGGTTGCAGACGGACTCTTCATTCTTCACCATTGCTGTAGTCACCACTATTGTCAATTGTTGCGACAGCGCGAGCAGACTCTAGTCGTCTGCAGGACAACAGGTACTCACGCAACAACTTACCATACCTACCATTTGAATCTTCTGGTCTTATGGACCGTGCCGACGACTCTCTTGCCTACGCTAACCTTTCTGCGTGAGATATTAATGCGCAAAGGTTCCCGCCCGAACTCACGTTCAACAACACACCAACACCCGCAGTTATAATTATAGTCGTAGTCTTCAATATGAATAGTCGCCTTTGCAGCAGTACAATTGTAAAGCTGAACTCAACGACGGTTTGTGCCGCGTATGCGCCCATAGGCGCCTGCGCGTTCGAGTGCCGTTAGAGCGCGAGCGAACAGGGCTCTCGCAAGAAGTACTCATCATTACTGTGTGCAGCTCATTCAGTAGCTGTTCGACAAGCCCTAAGTTAGTCTGCTTACTGCTTCCTCAACGGGTGGAACCTTCGTGATGGTTGTTGTGAAGTCACAGGAGGGGCACATGTGTAGCAATGTCGTGGCGCCGGCGATATCCGCGAAGTGATGTTCGTTGTCTGTGCATTTGTAGGCACGTTGTTGAAAGGAGCTCTCGTAGGTGGGACCCACAGGGAGCGAACGCATGTTCCGAATATAGTTGACGCTTACCGTTCCTACTAGAACCAGCCAGCGAACAGAAGGGCTGCAACCTGGCCTGCTGCGGCTGACTGGGCAGGGCAGGGTAGATTAAGACGGGGCAAACTGCCACAGAAACAACACCGAATCTCCAACCGCTGTCATAATTATATTACCATCGCTGCTATGGTGACGACGACAAGAAAAACGGTTTGCGAATCGACAATGCTACTGGTAGCGCCCGTCGGTGAGGAGAGACCCGGTTATTGACTGTACGTACACGCACACGAAGGCACTCAAACAAGTGCGCGAAGATGAAGCTAATAGATGACCAAGCGCGACGTAGTCACAGATACGCGGACAAAGATGCGGAACAACAACGCTGTAAGCAAAGGGAGATTAGTATACGAAGGCCTAGCTGGGTGACGCTTATCCTGATAAGCTGTGTTCTTATAGGCTCGAACATTTTCAACGTGGAACAACAATAACGGAATTTATGCAACACAAGAAGTATTGTATTACCTAGAAACCTGACTTACGTATGTTTATAACGTAAATAGCGTATCCGTTAATTCCATGGTCCTTGTAATATTAATGCCCAAATGTGTTGAATAAACTTTGTTTGCAGACAACTAGCTTTTGATCTTATCATTTTAGATTAGAAATTTTAAAGACTCTTGTTTAAGATCGACTTGTTTAAGAAAATATTGGTAAAAATTATCAGAGCTATAATGAGGAAAGTAGAGCACAACACTAGTATACAATTAAGTTTGATTAAAGTAACGGTGGATGGATCTCGTCTAATCTTTGACTATAGCTATGATCAGTCATCTTCCTTAGCTATTATTAATTATTTAATTTGCGTTAAATCTCGGTAATTATAAATATAATTTCGCAATCTAATAACTTTTCAGTTCGCTAAAAGATCAGCTTATAGTCATCAGTACGACTACAACAATAGAGCTAAACATGCATCGATTTAAGTGCATGTTTGACATAACTACTAGGACAATAAATCGATACAAGTGTCGGTAATGGCTTTCCGCCAAAATGTACTCATCACCGAAAGCATTGATTCGTATTGGCGCGTCGGAGTGACGCATTCAGAAACCACTCTAGCTACTTTTGGCGCCAAAACTTAACAGACGTCCATCCATGCCGCGAATCAGTATACCATAACAGTAACTCCACGCCCGGTAGCTTAAACGTGCGATGTCACAGCGATACTGCTGAAACTGTACTATCTCAAACAGCAGTAAACTTTAACATGATAGCCGAACTCTAGCTCAGTATCTAACGGAATGAACGTTAAGAGAAGAACACCGTTGTATGTTTTTGTTTGATGATTTTTCACCTTTTTATTATCAAACCTGCTAGTGGCACATACATTTTTCGTTATGTGTGATGATTTTTTTCGTTATATACATTACTATGTTATTTACAATGACTACATTACTTTTCAACGATGAATGAAATGTATACATTAAGAGAGACGCCTCACGAAGGATGAAGTTATGCGAAAATGTTAAAGTATGCTAATGACCTAGATGTCGTCGTCACTTTTTTTCATCTAACCTGGCATAGATGAGCAACATGTTGTCATTTTTACTTTACAAAAGTCACATGATTGGATGCGGTGATGGGTTGATCGATGAAGATTGATGATCGTATGAGGATGAAGATGAAAGCTGACAGGTGAAATGGACGCTTATTGTGTCGTGAGATCATTCGAGTGATGCTCTTCGATCGCTTCTGTCTTATAGTCGGATTCCATCTGGTGTTAAGAAATTTTAGGCTTTCTTGGGCGCAGCTGCCTTCTTCGCGGCCGCGGGTTTCTTGGCCTTGGGCTTGGCGGCGGCCTTGGGCTTAGCAGCGGCCTTGGGCTTTTTGGGGGTGGTGGCCTTAGGCTTTTTGGGAGTGGTGGCCTTCTTGGGCTTGGGGGCACCGGCCTTCTTGGGAGTCTTGACCTTCTTCTCGCCGGTGGCCTTTTTGGCAGCGGGCTTCTTAACCCCAGCTTTCTTGGGAGTCTTGACTTTTTTCTCCCCAGCGGCCTTCTTTACTGCAGGCTTTTTAGCCGGCTTTTTGGCTTTCTTTTCAGCAGCCTTAGCCTTCTCAGTAACGCGAAAAGAGCCGGAGGCGCCAGTTCCCTTGACCTGCTTCAGAGCACCAGAGGCAACGCCACGCTTGAGGGCCAGGCGGAGGCGCGTCGAGATCGATTTCTCGTCCTTACCAACGTTGAAGTTTGCGATGATGTACTTCTGAATGGCCTGGCGGGAGGAGCCAGAGCGTTCCTTCAGAGCAAGGATAGCTTTTTGGATCATCTCGTTGTATTTGGGATGGGCAGCTGGCTTCTTTTCGCCCTTGGGTTTTCTTTCACCTGCTGGTTTCTTTACTTTTTTGGGTGCAGCTTTCTTTTCAGGAGTGGCCACAGCCGGTGCGGGAGCAGCAGCGTCCTCAGACATGTTCAACAGGTTAAAGTAAAATCGCGAAACGAGAAGCTTAAGTGTTATGTGATCTGTACGAGACAAGCTCTGCGCGACGAATGGCGGGCTGGCAGATACCTAGCCCGGGATGGCTCCGCACGAGGCACCGCGGCGTGCTGCGACCCGCCATGACGAGAAGCAGCCACTCAACAGCGGCACTTGCTCCTCTTGGTTTGTGCTTGTGGGTCTCTTTTAAGCCAAAATTCTGATTGACGCAATTGACAATTTGACCATATCAAACGCTGATTCGATAGGGCAAGACTTGTAGTTTGCGCACGTGAAACAGACATTTCGCTACCACAAACGGTTGGCATTCTACAAGCGAAAACTCACCGAGAAAGCGGTTTTCTCCGAAAGCAAATTGTCGTTTATTGACATATATGAAAGTTATGACATGGTAAGTTAGTGAATTTATGGCATAGTTTTGTAGGCCAGTTATTCAGCTATCCTGTGATAAAGATCCGAAGAAGATCCGCCAGCAATTTCACACAAAAAATCGCTTATTTCTAGACCTAACGACACCCGACATCCGGCCCGGACAGCCATGGTAGCATTCTGTATGGTGTAAGAAATAATTAAATTTTAATATAAAAAATTAAATAAATCGACGCATTTTTTCCACCAATACACTCTATGTCAGTTAGTGATTCGATTGATATAGAAAACACATATGTAGGTGTCCAAGAAAATAAATTCTAGGAGTTTGTTTTTTGCCAGGTAGACGACAACACAAGGCAGTCGAGCGGCCGAAAAACCCAATAGTATGCCGTGAATAGCATTGACACGCGACGTTAAAAATCTGAATAATTGCAGTTTATTTGCAGTTTTTTGTATTGATAGCCTGCCTAAGAATAAGGCTTAATGATTTAGTATAGAATTGTACCAGTATTTTAAATAGAAACATGCGAATTTCATATATCAACCTCGCCGGTATTGCCGCGTAGAGAAAGCCGATTGGATTCAACATTCAGACTAGGACTGCCATGGTAGTTAGCTTTGGGAAAACTATTCCACTCATATTTCCAGCTATTTTAAACGTTTTGGCAGTGCAATTGTATACACTTATATATTAAAAGTAAAATGTATACGAGGTGCATTTTACAGTATTTAGGCCAGAACTAATCTTCGGTCCGTGATAAATGAGTTTCACCTATGCAAGGTTCGTTGAAGATTCATTGACCCGTTAGCTCGTTGCTTTCAAGCCTGCTCCCTATTATTTGCGTAGACTGGGCGTAACTAACCTATTCTAGCGTGCCGAGTTTTGCGGTAACTGTCACGTTCAGTGTTTCAAAATATATAATAATATAACCCTAAATAAGAAATTGAAATAGACGGCGAGATTCAGCGTTCATGGAAGGTGTGTCTGCTAGGGTAGCGAACGAAGTAAAGCGCTTTTCTGACCTCTGCATTAATGGGTATCGTCTTGGGATAACCACATTGAACATTTGCTGTAGAAATTGAGTAACTGTTTAGTTTACAATGTGAACATAACATAACTACAGTAACTACAGTTCGTAGCCGTTTGGAAATAAGGAAGTATTCAAGTGTAAGTATGCTTTCAAGTCGTCTGAAGACATGAAATAAAAACGACAAATTTGAACTTGTTGTCGATTGCAAAACAGCAAAAAGTTAGTTTATTAAACTTGTTTATTAATGTAATTTTCGCTCAAAGAACTTATTAGTGGCTGAATAGATAAATGAATACATTTCTACAGAATGGATGTCACTGGCGAAAACTGTCTGCATGAGAGTTATACGTCAAAGTTGCACAGCAAAGGGTCGCTGCTTTAAGATTTCTATTGCGTCCTCTCATCTCTCGTCTGGAGATCATTGGTACGGGACACGAAATCTGAGACGGCTCCTTGCGCTAGCGGCCCTCTGCTCGATGTCCTGGCCACGGTTTGCACAAGCGGCCTTAATCATTTGGTAGTGGAGCTCTTTGGCCGGGCCACTTGCGGGAACATTGCATCGCTCAAATTTGTCCTCAGTTCAGGCTCACCCTAGTTGAATTTGTTAGACGGCTGTTTTGCAGTTGATGTCCTAGGCAGTTGGGCCAATGCGAGCGCTCAATCGTGGCCGGTAACTGTATTCTCGAGCGTAGCTGCTGGCGTCGTTTCTTTTGCTTTTCTGGGAAAAGCGGCGATAGTTGGTCAGCGGCCGTAGCCCTCTCTACGGCGCCGTATCGTGTCCATAATATTTAGGATAAAGAAAGCGGTTTACTGAAGAGCGCCAGCTGAATTCCAGTCAGAATGAAAGCGACACCTTCCGTGTCTTTCATCAGTGTTTCTATGTGCAGTGCTGTTTAAACATTTTTTTTTCATCAAGTAAAAAAGCCATTTTATACTAAAGGTTTGTGTTAGAACATTTTCCGCAATACCTCAAAGAACGATTCTGTGCCTTCAGCATAGAACTATGGTAAATATTTCCATTATCCTACGAAATTAAATATCTCATTGACTCATGAGCTCATTGCTGAAGTAATATATTGACTGAATTAATTACTTAATGTAACATTCACTAAAATAGTTTTGGACTTTTTTGTAACACGTTCGATTGAATATTTTTAAAAGTTATGCAAGATATTTTATCAAATCAATATGAATCGAACTTTCCCTCCATTCGTTAGCTACTATATTTTATTTACGGAAATTTGATGACAACAAATTGTTATAAGTTTAGTAGATAAGCAGCGTGCATATTAACCTTACACCGACCTTTATTTCAAAGATTCGAAGCTACAGTGCTCTTTCCAATACTATTACCATAAATTGACTTACATCATAATTATTAAAGAAATTGTAGATAAGCGGTTGTTCTAATCCACAGCCTCAAGAGAACAATAATTGATGCCTGCTATTCTTCACTACAGATAAAACATTTCGTACCCTAAAAAAACCTATCGAGCAGTTTATTGCTATTTACAGATCGCGTTATATCTGACGATTTATTAAACAATTTATTTCTCAATGCGGTTTTTTTGTGTGCAACTTTCTACTTACACCTCAAACTTCTTTTGAAGGCACTTGCATGAATTGACAGATCAAGGTTTACATGCCACTCTGCTTAAATACTGGATTATAGTTTGATCAAGTTCTTTTTTTGTAAATAACGATTATTACTTTTTAAACAAGATTTCTAAACATTTGCATAATAAAGCTCAATAAGAAAAATAAGTGATCATTTGTTCGCGGAAAAGATAAACGATTTGAGTATGAGTGACTGTAAATCTCGCACTGTCAAAAAGAGATTCCATATCAACAAACAGGTCGCAACTGATTCATCACTAATTCTGAGCTATACAATAGCTGGGAGGATGTATCCCATTACGATTACGCGTCGACGCTGAGAAAATCGTTTGAATCGTCTGAATGTTTATAGAAAATCAAGTAACCTATATATGCTCTATTTCATTATGGAAGTCTCTTTCAAACATTAAAGGCTGTTTAAAACTGTAAATTAATGTAATTGAATAGTGATTGGTTAGTTCTATATGGCACCATTCGAAACGCGCCATAAAAATAGCCGAGTCACAAACTAGGTAGAATTACTTCGAAACGGCGAAATCTGTTGTAGATTCTTAGTTCTAGTTGCATCAATATTTCTGCTAATAAAGCCCGGAATCGTTACAAACGAAATAGAGTTTCACACTATCTTTTAACCGAAACAGACCAAATCTTTGGTTAACAAGATCACAGATCACTTTTTAAGGTTTAGCCCACAGCATGACACAATTTGTGTTAAAGAAAAGTTATTATATCCCACAATAAAAAACATACTTTTTCTATAGGTTTTTCTATCAAGTTCACTTTTTCTTGAAATTATCTGAGCTGAGCTTTGAACGAGTCTACTTATATAATATATATAATATTTCTATTTATAGAGTATATATAAAGTCCGCCCACACGATATATCACCTACAATTTAGGCCAAAATGACAGTAAAAAGCATGTACAATATCTTTCTGTTTCTATATTTGCGAGTTTGATCTACTCTCATTAGAGATATTTGACGACTACATAGCATACGTATACTTTTGCAAGTACCAAAAAAATGGCTATAATAAAGTTTGTCATTATTATTGCATAAATATATCAACGCTTTATAACGCAAGTTAAGCGCTTCGTAGACATTTCTAGTACTCTGATTTTCTCTCGTTGCTGTGTTGAAAAATGTTACAGATGTGACTCGATAGTAATCCAGTGATTTTAGGAACGGAAGTTAGTACCAGCGTTAGTCTGCGTTGTTTATGTATAGGCCATTCATAGAGCTTGTGCTACCTGTGAACCGGCCAACCCAGATGGGCTAAATATGGAGGACCGTGGCGTTCAGTTAGCCAATGGGAGTCGACCAGAGCTACCCGCGCAAACCGGACTGGGAAGTCGCGGGATGGTCTGGTGTATTGCGCTTACTGGTGGTTTTGCTTGATGTTGATGTTGTTATTATTGTTGTTGTTGTCGATTTTATCGTCACCGCCGCTATCGCTGGTGGGGTTCTGGATCGCTGGAGCCGCATAGAGCAATAAGCGTTGAGTGCGAGTACCGAGGATTTACGGCCGAATTTTGGCTGGGGGTGTTAGCTCAGCATTATCGTCGGGCAGCTTTTTGGCGGACACCAGCGATCAGCGGACGACTCGGCTGTTCGGCCAACGTCGAATTAAATTGTGGCCATAGCGCAGATAACTGTACAGGTGGCGTTGACTAAGGAGATCTTTAAGCAATGCAGTGCAGTTGTCGAAATCGCGATCAAGGCTGGTAAAAGTTTTGAACCTGATTTCAACATAAATAAAAAGTGACAGTAACGCAACCACAAGTAAAAGTACACTAATCATTTCTATTTTTTGTACGACAGAGAGGAACATGCTTTGTAACTCGAGTGTCTTGGTTTTAGAACAGACTATATACATATATAGATATATATATATATGCTTTTTTAATTTTAGATCACATATTCATAAAACTAATCACACGAAGCCATCACAAGAAAAAGGTCAAATCTAACTTGACCTAACAGGAACACAATCGTTTAGAAAAGAAATGTAAATTAAAACCGAACTGAGTCGGCGAGAAAAATAAATGTGTGTGTACAGTTGTTCCAGTTTATGGATTAAACGTTTAAGACGTTCGCTTCTCGAATTCAACCTTCAGACCTTTGCTGTTGTAACCGCTACGTATATATTTCGAAGCCTCCAATGAGACATCGTCGAGATAGTTTAAATGAGCATAGACATGGAAGGACACCTCAGTTATTTGAAGTATTATGTTGCTGGCGAAAATATAAATAACTGGATAATAAAACAAAATATATAAATAATTTCCTAGACAAATAAAATACGTAAAATAACCGAACATCGAAGAAGTTCGGACTAATGACAGAGCAACAGTGGTCATAAATGATCCACTGCTTTGAAACACGGTTTGAATTGAAGTAGGTAGAAGTTCTATAATTCACTTATTAACATATAGCAAAAAGTCGTAGACGTAGAAAAAGTCGTTCTGTTAAAAACTCTATAATAACCGAAATTATCTGTTGAAGCGATGTAGCCATGTGCGAGAAGATTTTCACCTCAAGTAGAGGGCTGGATATCTTGTCCGCTATCCGTCTAGAAGCTCACGAGGTCTATCAATTAGCGAAAACTGATACAGATATTGCTTGAAACAGGGCTTGCTTTGCAGGGAACAGAGCTGATGAAGAGCATTCTTCTCAGAACTAATGCATCTGCGACGAGCAGCCTACGTTCGAAACCAGTGAATTGCTCATCTATTTATCTTCCTGAAGGTTTTAGATTTTGATATATCTTAAATCCTTTCAGATAGAGCTCAATATGCACAACGTTTACAACTGTGATTTATAGAATGACGGGTTTAATTTACACAGAGAGGAAGATTGGGTAATGCATAATTATGACACATAATTAAATATCTAGTCTAGTAGTATTTTTTCTCGTTTCAGCCAGCTGATGGCTTCGTGTAACCGTTCAGATGACCGTGCTTCGCTGATAAATACAAAACTGCTCGCGAGCCCAAAGCCCTTTGGTAACTGTCGACTTATCATATAGACAGGAATGGCCATCGGAAATAAAAAGTTCCAAAATGCTATTTGTAAAATGAAATAGACATGAAATTCTAACTTTGCTGTTAACCAACCCTGTTAGACAAGTTTGAAGTTTCTCATCAACGATACTACAGATAAGTTTTTTTTTTTTTTATAGATTTCAAAATCAGAGCTTCCGCACTAAGGATTTGCGAGCATGGTAAAACTGACTCAAGCACGCTTCGGCGACTCTGTGACCCTTATTAATTGAATGACATTCTCTTACACTTTGCACCTTATTCATAGTTGTTTTTTGCCGTTTGTCTATTGCGAACATCGATTCACAATTTTGGGGAGAACGCGGTTTTCGTACGAAATCGTCGATGGCCATTTTTTCGAGAGCACAGGCAGCAATTAACGTCACCAAAAAACGGCTAACGGAGTAGTAACTGAATCAAGATTGCAGAAATAAGGAACCTTTAGTTGTTAGTTTATTGGACAAATCATCACTTTTTTTATGTGTCAGGTACTCTGTTGCTGGATGCTAATATAGGTCCATTCCTTCATTTTATGCAGCGGTTCGTGCATGCCAAACTCCATTCACAACTACTTTACATTTCAATAAAACAGCCTTTTCGACAAGAAGTACTAAAGTTTACGTGCGAACATTCACTTGCTATTTTCGACTTCCTATGAAGATTCCTTTTCACTGATAGGCAATCCAGCCTAGGAGATGTTCGTTTCTTATTAGATGAAAAGCTGACACAATATCTCCTGCACCCATTTAACATCTCCATAATTTTTTTTAAGTAGTGATTATGAAACGAACGTATCGATTAAAACTACAGTTTATTTAAAGGATTTTTTACAAATTTTCCAACTAATTAATACTGCATAATTTTCTACCGTCTAACTAGTATAACTATGATCGTTAATATTAAAATTGGAAAGATGTTGCTCTCACCTGTTGTTCTCCTGTTGTACTCGATTTTACCAACTTATGTTACAATTTGAAGAAAGTATCTACAACCGCGAGTAGGGTTTTCTGGGTTGGCTTGCCAACAGCAATGTTAACTAATGGCAGCTTGCTTCTATTATGGGCAACTTAGGAAATCGTCACTCAACAGTATGGGGCCAGTCAATGATGGCTAAAAGGAACTAAACTTCAAAAACTAGAGAGAATTGAAAGTTTTTCCATTATCTAGAAGCGAGGTGCTTCTCAGTCTTAATATACAGGAGCTCAATAGATCTGCCTACGTTATCCGAAATTAAGCATAATGAACTGTTGAAAGCGAACCGTTTAAAGACATTTATGACTTTGTTTTTATCTTAAACATTTATAAATAATAAATAAATAAAAAAAAATAAAAAAATAAAACAAATAAATAAATAAAAAATAATAATAATAATAATAAAAAAAATAATAAAAAAATAAACCGTTTAATGTTTATTCATGAGGTTTTCAATGTCGTCTCTAAAGCCCTATGGTGCTAGAGACAAATGAATTGAATTAACGATGGAACGATGGCCACGTGCAGATGTTGTTTTCCCTGTGGCGACATTATGGCGGTGTCGAACGTGTCCGGATCTACTCCTACCGACGACTTGTTAATGGTCATTGTTGTACAGTACTATTAAAAAAAAGTCTCTGCACAACGGACAAGTTGGACCATAAAGGATTCATCAATTCAAATGGCTTTAAAGACTGATGGTTCAAAACAACAACAACAACGTGCGTTAACACTAATCCTGGGACGTGTATTCCAAATGGCCTTTGGCAAAGCTTTAGTTCAATAAATTGATTTGTACTTAAATGGCCAAACTGGGTATGGGATCTATTTAATTTACATTTATTATTTACTATCTGTCATAGACAGTCATATCGATTTCTACAAATAGAACGTAAAAAATGGAACTGGTCTAAGAGGCACAACTATACATCTGTCAAATCACGTAGTGCCTATTTTCTTAGTTGTAAAGCCATGTCTCAAATGGTTTTCGGTGCTAAATAGAAGCCATGGCTATTTAAAAGTTGTCACGGTACGTCAAAAAATGCACGCTCAGATTGCGCTTATTTTTATAACTGTCTAATGGTAGAGGGGCATCTTCCTTTCTTTCCAACCTAACGAGAACCCGCATATGTTAGTGGCAATATGCGCGGAAATCAAAAATAACATGTTTCCAATTAGAGGAAAAGACATTGTGTCTTTGGAAGATATGACTGAGTAATTGTGCGTGTTATTGTCATCTTTGCCCAACACAGAAAATCTATCAGGCATATCCGACTCGAGTCAAATTGGATTGCAAAAATATGTTGACACATGATTGGCACCAGTAATAATTTTCATAACGCCAGTAGTCAACAAATTGACACTTATATAAAATATTTTAATCTTGTCTTTATATATGTCTAGCTAACGGTTTTCAGCTCTATGTCACACAAAAGGCGATGTGCCTAATGCTGACGAAAGCTTTGAGGCTGAAGGAGCCCCTCGAGACATTTTTAGATATCTCGCAAAGTACTTTCCAAATCCACTTAAATGTAATACATTTAGACATAATCGTATAAATACTTGCAAGTTGTATTAAAGTAGTTAGTATTATTAGGTTAAAGTTGGTATTTGGAAAATGAATAAAATAGTATTTAATATGAACGATCGCGACGAGCGCAACTATATTATCTTGGGTGTATTACCTATTATTTTACCGCATAATTTTATACTGTGCCTTGGCAAAAATAAAGGAGTTCCTGTAATCACGATGGAAAACTAGATACTCAAACTAAAGTATGGCATCAATAGTAATAGGTCCCTTGACGTATCAGTAGTAGCGTCATTTGCCTTCATGACAGCTGGGCCATACGTTAGGTTGACGAACAAACAGCTCAGCTGATCTTCGCCAGTATCGGCTCCTCGGTCTGTAATATCCTTGCTTCCGAATGGTGCTCTGTATCGTATTGTCTAAAGTAAACTCGGCAGGTAGAAAATAGTATTCCCGTGTGCAGTGAAAATTGTGTATGATAAAAATATAACTATATCTTTGCTACAAAAATGTGAATTTAAACTAAACAGTTTTTTACTGCTGTGTGGTTAAAACCATAATACCCCTTGACGAACCGGCTGCTACAAGCTCGCATTTTATAGGTAAAATATATTTAAGCATTTTGGAATAGAAACAACTAGTTTAGCAGAAGCAAATCACTGCTTATCTATAACTTTCAGGCTAGACCTACGCCCATGCGGTTTTGTGTTCATAATCTGAAATGTTGACTACTTCCACATTACGCATTTATCATTATTTATTGAGGCTGCATGTTACTTGTATCTTGGCGGGTTGACTCGCTCATTGAGGTACACGCATTAGGATTAAAAAAAAAGGTGCAAAACTAATAATATACTTCAAAATTATCGTACATTGTTTTTGCGTGTATCGAAACATATCTTCAAGCCATAGCTAAACTACCTTTGATTTGAGCTTTATTCTATTATGGTAGTCGTAACGCAAAGTCTTTTTAGTTCATAATTAAAAAATATATTAATTATTATGAATATGACAATGATAGTTATTTTGTTTATGATATTCGGTTAACTTCCATTCTTTGCCGGTACTGCTCCAGAGAGAATAAACGAGTCAACTTGCGTTCGCAGCTCTTCCACTCGATCTATAACTACAAAATACGGCGGCAAGGAACCTTCAAGAGAAAAATTGAGGTTCATCCTCGATTTGAAAAAGCTGACATTTCTTGTAGGCACTTGTCCATTACCACCAGCGCCTGTAGTATCATAAATGGTTACAGGTATTTTACAGTAAGCTAGTAATGCCTCGCACCCGTCTTCAGACATGTCTAACCATCGAGCAAGGACGCTCAGAGGAAAGATACATGCTTTACTACTGTAGGCGGTGTTAAGCGCGCGCAAAAACATAACACGAATTTTGCTTAGCTTTGGAGCCAAAGCGCTCCACTGAAGCGGATTGTGAAAATGGCGAGCAATTTGAAGTAGCCGGTACATGTTGCCATGTAGAAATGTTTTAGCGACATCGAACGACTCGTTGCCCATTCTTCGTTTGATAACAGGATGAAGGCCACTGGCTCGAACGAGAACTGTGAATGAATCAACGTTCCAGAGAAGGTACAGCGACTCTATTTCGGGGCGATCCTCATCAACGATGCCATGATCCTCATATAGGTGGAGCAGACGGCCAATTGTGTCTAAGAAATGTTCCGTATTGATAGCTGGATCAAACACCTTCAGCGGTGCGCCCTCCGCCGGGCAAAGCGTGGCTGCAACGACATAAAATCGAACACACTGAGCGAGAATCGCACGGGTGCCTTTGCAGTGTGCCTGCTGCAGGGTGAGGTCTTGTCTTACAGCCCATAACCGGTCCCATACAAATGAATAGCATGCTGAAAAATTAGTCTGAGTCCGTGCAATATTCATGAGATGCCTCATAGCTTCAAAAAGAACTTCTGGTGGGCGGACATTTTCCGGCGTGTCTGAGTGTTTTCCAGCTGCTGGTCGACTGTACCGCTTAATAAGGATATCTTTTTCAAACACAGGATGCACCTGGCGATGTTTAATCCGCTCGCGTATTTCCTGGGCAGGACATAGTGTTTGACAAGTGCCAACGAATACCATTATTAATCATACATACACACAAAAACTACAGCGCGGCAAAAAAGCAGAAACAACTTGCAGTAACTATGATTTATACAGTTGTCTTCTTGTAGCACTTCAGTAACCATACGTTTAAGTAGTTGTTAGCAGATGGCTAATTAAACAGTTGTATATCAGCGCTCGAAACATCGTTAAAAATTAATTAGCCGAGAATACAGTTTCTGAAGCATGACAGGATACAACCGAAGCGGATGTCACTGTGTGGGATGAGTCGAGTTTTTAGGCGGGAAACTCCGGGACACCCTAAAGTTCAATCGATTATGGCTAAATTTGCTGTTACGTCAAACGCTATATCACGCTGGAGGTTAGGAGGAGTGGTTAGGCGGGTTTTCAAGACGGAGTTTTTGCGATTCATAGGGTATTTACTGATTTGTCTAATGAAGATCGAGCGATAACGCAGTTAGCTTCGCAGTAGCTTCAGGCGAATGTCCGAGATTATTGTACTGGCAAGCATCGAATAGTTGAACTCGGGTCTCTCCTAATATTTTTAGCCAGATGTTGCTAATTGATGTATTCAAATTTGAAAGTATTGTTCACCAATAAAGTATATTTTGAATGTTATATGTACATATTTATAAATTTATATAGATCTATCTATACATATTATGCCAAAGCTGGGAGCAAATGCAGCAATACGGGTGGCATGCGTCTCTTTAAGACGATGAGTAATTCCAGAAGTCAATACTAGTTCAGACAATGTGCTTCGTTGCCACAATAGATACAAGTGACGTGTTTGCCTAATAAACTCAGAAATCCGTGATGGTTTAGGTTCAGAACTCGGCATGGACCCATTCTGGTGTATCGGTGGCGGCCGCCGTAATGGACCCAGTCATCTGAAACGTCGCTTAGCTATAGCAATAGCGGATTTCGTCCGATCCGGGTACTTCAAAACGCCCATTTTAGACAAAGCGCTGCTCTCAAGTCTCCCGTTATACTGAGGAAATATACGCGGGCTCTAAAAACAAATATTTGCCCACTATTTTATCTGACACCCAGTTACCTAAGTAATCATGCCATGCTAATTGATCCCATAGAGATTGTTCCTTTTATTTTTGAGCGACCTGTTCACAGGCATTTATCCATCAATTAGACAATGCAACTAAAAGTTTTAATTAAATAAGAGTACAAAAAGTAATTAAGTAAAAATGTGCAAGACTTTTCATATTAGTTAACACGGGTTGCATAAGCGATTCGGTTAGCTTTCTTCCATTGAGTTCATTTAATATGCTATCTATTGTATATAAATGTGTAAAAGTCGGCCAGCCCTTCGGGTACTAACGTATTTAAACTAATAAACAAATGTTATAACAGCTTCTTAAATCCTGGAATAATGCTCGTCTAACCAATAATATCAAACAAAAGCTTTTTCTTTTCTGCAATGATTTATAGATGCATAACTATATAGAGCTAATTTGATACGACAAAACCAATAGTATATTACCTACACAGCACATTTGTTTTGAACCAGCTGCTATGATATATTAGCATTACCAGCAAATAGGCAATTCTCCATGAGCCTATTCCCACAAAAAATAACTTATAAAACCAACCGAAGTTTACCGGTTTCAGAGTTAATTTTCTATTCTACTTGTGTTCTTTTTTGTTTCTCTAGATACATATTTAGGATACACAGTACTCTAGATACATACTTTTTTTAGATAATAACGTGCACTTGAAACTGAAACGAAACGGTTATAGGTTATTCTACATAACACCAAACATTCAATTTGTTTCCTTTAAAGCGTACATCGTAATTAACAGAAAATCTTCGGTTTAAAAACGGGAATTCAGAAACTTAATTTAATTACTTTTCATTTACAGAGCTGCATTGCCTTTCGGGCAACCTGGATACGCGTGTGCAGTTTTTTGGTCTACTTTTTACTGTTATTGAAATATTGTAGTTTTGCTAAAATTCTGGAACAGGCGTTTTAATCGCGTTATCTAAGAACCTAACAGACCATCTAGCACCAGCATAAACACGACCACCACGTGACGCAAATTCTGTAGTTAGCTGCGAAATCGTGGTACTTGGGTATATTTTTTTATGTTAAGATACGCATAAAAAATTCCAAACATTTCTCGATCATCTAAGGAAATGACTACATGCGATTAATGAATAAAAAAAACGTTAAAAAGAGATAAAAACTAGTACGCAAACAAACGCTTGTATTTAACAATGTATATTTTTGGCTGAAGTCTGGGGAACCCTAAGAGAATGAAAGTTTGCCATTACTATAGCCTCAGTCAATTAATGTAGTTTGATAGAAAATTTATCTCCAGTTCTGGGTATCAGTGGATATCATTTTAACAATACACTGTCATTCCAATACTTTTACTACGAATACGTCCGACTGCGCCGCAAATTTAGCAATGGTTTCGTAAGTAATCAGGCCGTAATAATAAGGCTGAATCATAATATTTTAGCTATAATTACTAAATGTGTTTATGTGCGTACTTATTATATGCTGTAATCATAGTTATTGATTTACGTATAGCTTATTATAAGTTTGTTGTAAACAATATCGTCTTTTCTAAATAATTTGTATGAACGAAATAATATAGATTATCATGTACGCCATTTAAGTCTTAAAAATCGATGAAAGAGCACAATAACGGACACATTGGAGTCCGAGCATAGCGCGTACAATCTAGTCTCAGAATTATGTTTATGAACGTAAACGAAAAGCCCCATAAACCACATTTAGTCATACAAAAACATTTTATTTATTTACAATTTTGCTAAATTAGCTATACAGGATACTGCGTCATGTAATTATGTTAGCGAAATAAATCCAATCGTTTCCAGGAATCTTCCTCCGACTTCAAAAAGAAACGTATATTTTCACTCGTTATGTGCCACCTCGATAGCGATGACGTCTAAGAAAAGGCGACTTCCTGCATATCACCTTCCATTTAGTGGATAAAAATTCAAAACGTCGACGGTGTATAATAATTTCCTTATATATATATATTCTTTTTTCTTTATTACGTTATTACGCTTTACAAAATTTTGTACAAATGCAAAATCGGAATGGACAATGGAACGGAATCAAAAAAGTAAACAATCATCCATCAGAAACTTTCACGGTAGGTTTACTGGTTTGCTGACATCAGCAATTCAGCTATTTGGAAGCGACTAATGGCAAGATTCTCATATGCACGCTAGCCTTGTCACTGTGTGAATTCTAATTTTTTAGTTCGATCTGTTCATGTTTGTTTCCATTTTAAGAAGTACGTCTTGCGTGTTCTGTTTAATTCATTTGACAAGATTGGAGCTACCTGGCGTATAAAAAGATATAGCTTGAATAGGGTTTTGTTATTTGCATCCTATAGATAAACTACGTAAGCGCCAAATTGAATCGTTTTGCAGCTTTAACGCTGCACAACTCACAGACACATAAAATCCCGTTTTCTCTGTCTATACTGCCTTTAACTAACCTATAGGCTGGTTTAGCACTGGAAAAAATTGACCGGAGAGGCTAATGAACTGTGTTTCGTCTTTTGAGCATTAATATCATCGATATGTTACTATATAGGATATCAATAGACCTGAGAGAAGGTTATAATTAGGAAAATGTGCGAATGTCTGTTTATGAGGTGACGCTTCAGACGGCGTTGTCTATAATCCAGTCAGAAAACTTGCTTACTCTAGTATAGACGCCTGGAACGCCCTTCTGAGCGCATTTGAATCCAAACGAAATAATGCCCTCAAGGGACCACCGCTGCTCGCTGTTTCGCACCAACAAAGGTCCGCCGGAGTCACCCTGAAAAAGGAATGAGTAAAACTTGTCGTCGCTGTTCTCCTTAGATCTCTCTCTCTCTATTAAATTAATAGCAAGTTCTATGTTCTATATACTTTGATGCAAGTTGTACAACAGAGTCTTCGAAGTTACTAAATGTTCTGGTTTCGAATTCCGTTCGTGTTTCTTTAGCTAAGTTTTCATGGGGATTGGCTGAAGCGATGAACAACATCGCTGCGGCATGACAGCTTTACTGTGCCGTTATGGGTGAATGTGATTTACATATCAGAAGAGGCTTTACGAAAATTAGAAATTTTCCTAGGATTTTATCATCTACGAACAACAGTAAATTAGTAACAATTAAAATGTAACGTTATTGCTGTCACTATTACCTGGCAAGCGTCGTGTCCCCCTTCGTCCTTTCGTCCTGCGCAAAGCATTTCGTCAAATACTGCGATGTTGATTTTATCCTGGCACTCCTGGTTACTCCAAATTGGCAAAGTGACCTGCTGTAGGACATTTGTCTGGGGCCCTCCGAAAGCAGTTGAGCCCCAACCGACCGCAATTGCTAAAGCAACGACAGAGTACGAACTAAAATCGTAAAATTCAACGTTCTTTGTGTTCAAAGTAACGTGTAATAATAAAACAGCAGGCAAATTTCAGCGGCTTAGGGAGCTAACTGCTGACCCGACTGAGTAGATTTGTCGACTTCGGGGTTACTACATCGAGAAGCTAGCTGTTCCCGATGGCCGTTTTAAATGAAACTTCTTATAGCTTGGCGAAGGATTTTTCAGCGCATAGTGTTTTAAGGAAATATAGAGAATACCAAAATCAAGTCACATATTTGTTGCTTTTGTTAAGCAAATTTCTATTATTCCCATAATTATTCCCGTTACTGCTTGGTGATACAAAATCACTGTCATAGAGCAATTGGCTAATTTGAACGACAAATTTTGTTGAGCCGATATTACAAAGCACCCCATATAAGTAAAAGCGGCGTTTTTCTTAAGTGCAAAAAAATAGAATTAAAAAAAAAAGCGTTAACATGTGATGTACCAATTCGTCCGGTGTTATCTCTGGCATCGGGTAAACAACAGGGCTGAAGTCGTGTACTAAACTGCACGGGCTGTTGTAGTTTGAGAATGGCTATATCAGCGTAGTAGTTCGACGAGTTATAATGGGGATGAAGCTTGGCTGTTCCGATTCGTAAATCTTGTGATCCGTCCGCTTCGTCCAAATTCGTATAACCAATACGAGCTGTCATTGCATAGGGCTTCATACTAAAACGCCGGAGTGAGACAAGTTAGCGTTCACCGAAGACCAAGGAACCTGTTCTAACCTAGCCTTGTGATTTTGTCGATAGCCTAAAAGTGACTAGGTAGAGAAAACACTGCAACGTGTTCGCTTATTAAACTTTGAAACAAGTAAGGGGTCTAGGTTTAAAACCAAGCATAGACAGTTTATTTCGTGCTGGAAAGGGCCAGTCGTTTGAAACAATGCCAAACGGCGAAGCCGAACGTAAAAACCTAAGACTTCATAAACTTCAAATCGAAGAAAGCAGTGGCACACGTATAACCCTTTATTCAAAAATGAAGGAGTCATTCGTTTTAACTTGATAAATATTTAGTTAGTCATCCCAACTGAAGTTATCTCCTTCGAAGTAATTCCGCCGGACGCAGCACACCTATGTCACCGTTTTCTCCAGCCCACAAAGGCCTTTTCAAATTCGATTGTCGGGATAGCTCTCAGCTAGGGCAACTATTTCTGTTTTATTTTTTCTATTTTGTCGCTTTCCTTTTAAAGTTTTTTCCAGCTTTTTTTTTCCAATAGGAAAAAAGTGGCTAGTTCCAGTGAATATGGCGGTCATAACACACATATAGTTTCGTTGCAACAACTGCTATTTGCATAGTGAAGTGTGAGCCGGCGTATTGTTGTGATGGGCAGCCATAGAGAGACTATAATACGATGAAAGGTAACGAACACTTCCTCGACAGAAAATCGTAAGAAGCACTTTAGTTCTCACATGATCACTGTCATAGGCTTTTCAGGATGAGCATCGTCCTCCATAGAATCCTATTTGTGTTCAAAAGGCTTAAACCAGCTGCGTACTTGAATTTTGCTTGCTGTGTAGTTTCTGTGGACATCCTGCAACATTCGTCGAGCTGACCCGGCGAGGAGAACTTGCGGGATGCTGAATATGTAGGCCAACTCAATATACAGAAAAACTTGAGACTGCCTCAAATTTCTACCATCAGGATTACCTGTATGTAGTAGAAACTCTGCTTCTTTACGAAAACAAATGTGTATTACAAGCGATCATGCAGTGGTGTGGGAATTCAAACAACTCGTTCACTTTTCATCAAAGGGTTATATATAGCAATACATACTGGAAAAATAAGATGTAAAGGCGTGGGTCGAGAACATAATAGTGCAGTATCGTTTATTGGAGCAGGATAGAGCATAAGCTGAGCAGAGCAGCCAATTGCTTTAATAAAAGTTCGATCGTATTTGGGAGAGCATAAAAACCAACTGATACTCACTTCGCAATACAGTGCGCTGCTGTGATCATATGTTGGTCAGAAATGAGCGTCGCGCCGCAAAACTGCTCCATGCCGCCGTCAGCTGGTCGCATAAGCGCCACCTATAATTATAATTTTAATTAAAAAGAGGCCAAGCCAACGATCGATTGAACAGAGCTGAGTATATTATTACGAAAGGCCTATTACTTTTATAAATTCGCTTCTTCGGAGTTTCTGCAACCATAATATGTACGAGACTCGCCAGTTGATAAAGGCCCCCAGTGGCTCAAGTAAATCTATGAAAGCCATTTTGGCTAAAATACTGAACGATGCAACGAACTATCACATTTAGTGGCTTATAACACGTATGGTAAATTAACCAGGTGGATTTTAAGGGCAAGCAGGTCTGGAGTAAACGGTTCCCAGTTTGACAGTAAAGCGAGAAATTTGATATGAAATCTATTTTGTAATCAGTTGGCCTAACCGGGGACCTTTACCTTTTTAGCGAGCTTTCAGCTGTTCTCGGCTTTGCCGTCTGCCTCGGAAGTTGCAGGTTGAACTACTGGTGACGAAGCTTGATCAAGTCGTGCGGACGAAAAGTGGGTTGTAGTGACGTAAAGCTTATATATATATATATATATATATATATATATATATATGTAACATACGGCGAAAACCAACGATAACTGTAGTGTATAAATACTTTTTTCACGTTAATAATTCGGGCAGGCAATAATAGTTAGACTATATGTTTTAACAAGGAGAATGCAAGCAATTATCGATTATTCTTGCCTGGTGCAACCATGTGCCTCATAATGATCCTATAACTTAATAATGAATGAGTGAATCTGGCTGACGTGATGGACTGAATGGCCCATTCCTGATACAACGCCATTCTATTTTCTTCGACAGGGGGCCTGTTTGCCCTGATCTGCGTTTTCTGTTCGATCATTTCCACTTACGGTCCAGCTCCAGTTGTCTCCGTGCACCTGCTCGCCACCAACTATCCGAGAAGTTGTGCTCACGCCGCATGCTGTATAGATAGTGCGAAATGAAATGGCCCGTTAGTTGTTATTCGTTTGGTGTTATTAAAAGGACAAAGGGTATTAATTTATGATAAAGTAAGTTGTTAGGTCGTGACTGAGATATCTACTGACATGGTATTTTTCCCTTGTTCTACTCTAAAATGTGTACATATTTTTAATATGAAGGTTTACTACTTAATCACAAGGCCATCAAGTGTAGGTTTTTTATCAGCTACGTCAAAGTAATAGGTAATAAATATGTGTGGTACAGCTTACCTACTTGTCCAATTAAAAACCAGGAATGAAATTAATCCTGAAGCGTTGCCTTTTGTCAAGCCTGTTCCAAGAAAATTTGGATTATAATAATCTAAATTTAATTTAGCATAACAGAGATGAACATGATATACTTCTTTCATATAACTTATTAAAACAGTCAAGCAAAAACTTACACGACTGGAACCGCAGGATAGGTTTAGTGGTAACCGGCGACTGTCCTTGCGTTTTATCTTGAAAGGTAAGTACTGTGTTGAAAGGTTGTTTGTTAGAAACACGTAGCACTGGACTAATCAAAAGTATAGCGATGGCAGGAACGCCATAGGCACAAATAAAAATCTCTAGGTACTATAGCGTATGATCTAAATATTCGCCAGTGCTTAAGTTGACAGAAATCTAGTGGGTTCTGACGCCAAAGTTAATTTATAGTTTGATAGGTGAGAAAGAAAAAACGAATAACATATACAAAGACTAGGTTTGACATCTAGGACTATTGATTGCCTAATTAGTGACATGACAAAAGATGTCACGCGGTACGAGACAAGCTGCCAGACTACACATCTGTGGTAGACGAAAGCTGAACTTGGGTGACAAAAGAAAAAAAAAAGGGAAAATACAGAAAGAAAACAACTAGTGTTAGCTCGTGATAGAGGCTAGCCATGGATACGAAGCAGTTATATTGAGAACAAATGAGTTTACGGAACTTGGATAGTAAAACGCAGCAACAATTGGTGGTGCTACACACCTTGCTAGATATTGTAAGAAATGATGTCCTGTCGTAGGACTCATGTTTTTCGGATTAAGGCTGTTGTGCAAAAGCCGTTTTTGTATGTTGCAAAAGATGTATGTTGAAAAGGGGAACTAGTATGATGGATTTTTGGTTGAACGATCTTAGATGAAATTAAACGAAGAGGCAACGAGTGCCAATCGTTTTAGGAACTTACGTGATGTTTCTACGGTTTACGAAAAATTGAGCCTTTTTAATAAACAAGTGGAAATATTGTGGATAAGTGCTTTTTAGTTATATTTGTTGTGCTCCCGTGTAAATCAGCATGATTGCCACATGTTAAATGATTGCTTGCATGCTAAAATAACTGCAATACCGGACAAGCGTGGAACTAGGATATGTTATTCTCTCTCTTGTGTAATCTAAAGTCGTCGTAGCTCAACCTAGTCAAAAGTTCTGGAACGCACTTTTAAAATGTTTTTTGCAGCAGTGTGTATATAGTTTTTTTAATACTAATTTGTCACCTTGTAATACAATCAGTACTACTGATTATAGTTCGGATTTGTATGAATGCAAAAGTACCCAAGATAGCAGAGTAAATCTTAAGCTTATTGGCAAATCTGCAAGGACAACTTAGCAATTCGTAAGGTTGCGCTTGTTACGCTTAACAAACTGGACGCATTGCACGAGAAACAATCACCTTATAGGAGCTTCAACTTGCCATGTAGCCAGTGTTCTTTGATCTGTCTTACCTGCGCCAGGTTGGACCTCTTGATAATTTTGTTGGTTTGTGTACTGAGGCCCTTCAAGGTCGTAATTGATGTGATGATGTCCGGGCCTGGTCGGTGAAATGGGTTGACTATTTTCGTAGAATCCGGGAGACGGTTCACGCGCACCATATTCGTCCAAGCCGGAAGGCGGCCCGTAAAAGCCATGTTCGCCAAAGCCTGCAGGCGGCCCACTGGGGCCGTATATGTCGAAACCGGGCGCAGGGCCACGAGGCGGCCCACCGAGGCCGTATTCATCGAAACCGGGCAACGGGCCGCGAGGCGACCCATGAGGGCTCTGAAATTGCCGGTGACCATGTTCATGATGTCTCTGTTTTCCGAAGCGTGAGTCAAAACCGGAGCCATCGAATCCGTGAGTACCCCAACGCTGTCTTCGATGACGATGATGCTTCCCTCCAAAACCTGGTCCAGCCAGGTATCGAAGAAGATGACGTGTCTCTACTTCTACAAGTGGGGACGAATCAAAAGCCGGGGATCCTGGAGGCCTTGAAGGCCCCGGAGGGTCAGGATGCCCAAGTTTCCACCTTCGTATTCTGCGCAGATGCCGGGAATCAATATCTAAATACAACAGCCGTACGAGGGCCGCATCGGGATATTAGGCAATACCTGATTGGTGGTGGATAGTGCTCTTTTTAAAGGACACAAAATTAGACTTCTAAGTTTATGAAAGCTTAAAATAGATAGCAAATCTAGCCATTTTCGGTAAAGCCTAATTAACAATTTGAACTCGGTGACTTTAGTTTGAGATATTATTTTGAATGAGTCTAGTTTGAAACTGGGCAGGAGCTAAAATATTAGACAGGAAGAGTTATACTATTAATAAGCTAATAAGGTGCCAGGCATAGAGCACAGAAGAACCCAAATCATGCCACACAATCTGTTTAGTTGAAATGGGACCATAAATAAACCAGCCTGGAATGCTCAGATCCCTACGTTACGACAGTATAGTATTGGTTTTATTCGGAGATTTTTTGCTGAATAGAATTTATATTCAAAAAGCAAGCCGAGGTAACGTCGCAGACGTGTGACTCAATTAAAAAGCAGCTCAATATATGAAAAACCACAATTTGTCAAATGTGTACATTTATAAGTTTCAGCACAATTTTATATAAAGATGAAAACACAAAATTTTATCGTAGAAAGTACTAAAAAATCACCCACCAGCCTTTCTAATGATATATTTTTTGTTTACTCATGATAATATGAACATTAACATGTCTCATCTCTGAGCAATGTAATATGCCGTTATTTGTTTGAGGTGAAGGTAAATTGACGGTTACTAATTAAACTATGTTTCTAGTGGGAAATCTTCTTAACTGCGTCGTCAGTGTTGAATTATTCCATCTATTGATATTATTGGCCAATAGATATACAATACTGTTGGAAGCTTTTAGAGGATTTCCGCGCTGTTATTAGCTTGGTCTCTAAAAACGTCTCTTTTATATATATCGTATAATTGGAGAGTAGTCTAAAGTACTGTAATGCCGATTGCTGTTGTTAAATGGCAAAGGAAACAAGATAAATGTGTCTTGTTGGCCCTCCGAGGACAAGGGGCCTTTTTTTTTATAGCCCGATCTCACTTTATGCAGGCAATGTTTATTTGCATCAGAGGTGATGCGGTATTTCTAAGCCAAGCAGAGACATAGTTTCTCTTCCGACAAGGCACGAAAAGTAACTTCCTTTACTGTGCTTATATATATAATATATATATATATATATATGTGCTTATATTCTATAATAT